GGGATTCCTCCAGTCCAGCCTTTCGCATGATGTATTCTGCATATAAGTTGAATAAGCAGGGGGACAATATAGAGCCTTGTCGTACTCCTTTCCCAATTTTGAACCAATCAGTTGTTCCATGACCAGTTCTAACTGTTGCTTCCTGTCCCACATATAGGTTTCTCAGGAGATAGATAAGGTGGTGAGGCACCTCACCTCACTTAAAGAAATGGACTTGCCATAGTTTGCTGTGGTCCACACAGTCAAAGGCTTTTGCATAGTCAATGAAGCAGAAGTAGATGTTTTTCTGGAACTCTCTGGCTTTCTCTATAATCCAGCGCATGTTAGCAATTTGGTCTCTAGTTCCTCTGCCCCTTCGGAATCCAGCTTGTACTTCTGGGAGTTCTCGGTCCACATACTGCTGAAGCCTACCTTGTAGGATTTTGAGCATAACCTTGCTAGCGTATCAAATGAGTGCAATTGTACGGTTGTTGGAGCATTCTTTGGCACTGCCCTTCTTGGGGATTGGGATGTAGACTGATCTTTTCCAGTCCTCTGGCCACTGTTGAGTTTTCCAAACTTGCTGGCATATTGAATGTAGCACTTTAACAGTGTCATCTTTTAAGATTTTAAGTAGTTCAACTGGAATGCCATCACCTCCACTGGCCTTGTTGTTAGCCAGGCTTTCTAAGGCCCACTTGACTTCATTCTCCAGGATGTCTGGCTCTAGGTCAGCAACCACATTATCTGGGTTGTCCGGGATATCCAAATCTTTCTGGCATAATTCCTCTGTGTATTCCTGCCACCTCTTCTTGATGTCTTCTGCTTCTGTTAGTTTGTCTTTTATCATGCCTGGGGTAGAGGTGAATAAAAACTGAGATTCTCCAAAGGAAGGTTCGCTGAAGAGGGTGGTCCCTTTGGGGGAAATGAAAGGTCCAGAGACTTGGCTCAAGAAAAAGGATTGAGCTTACTGTTTATTTTCCTGTCTAGTTTGTTTTAATTGTTTCTCACAACTGAAATCATTGCCTGCTGGGGGACTGACCAAGTGGATAAGAGGAATGTTAAATGCCTCCTTGCTGCAAGGTAGGCTGTTGGCATGCTTAAAAGACACACTTGTGAAACTGCTATTGAAAAAGCCATCCTTCAACCCCTCTATATTAGATAATCACTGGTCATTTTTGAGGAAGGAATTAGAATGGGTGACTGCTTCCCAGTTCCACTGATTCCTGGATGAAACAGGTTACCTAGATACATTTCAATCAAGTTTCAAGGCTGGATACAGGATAGAGACAGCTTTATTCACCTTGGTGGATGACCTACACTGGGAACTAGTGTATAAATAAATATAATAAATATATCCCTATTGATTCTGCTGGAACTTTCAGCGGCTTCCAGTACCGTCAACTATGGTATCTTTCTGAACCATCTGTCTGGGATGGTTATGCAGTGGCTCCAGTCCTTCCTGGAAGGCCAAGCTCAGAAGAAGTTGGTGTTGAGTTCCTGTTTGATCCCTTGGAGTTCTGTTTTGCTCCCCGTAGCTATTTCATAAATATACTGTATTAAACCTCTGGGAGAGGTTGTCCAGAGTTTTGGAGTAGAGTGTCACTAGTACGCTGATGACACCCAACCAACATTCCCTTTAAGCTGCACAACTGTGCAGCCGCACAGTGCTGCCTCAGTGCCGCAGAGTCAAACAAGTGTTGCCCATTTGCTTCCAGTGGCAACTGGTACCCCGCGCACGCGGGCTGGGGCCCCCACTCAGCACTAGCAGAAAATTAAAGGGAACATTGCATCCAACTCTATCTCTTTCCCAACATCTATTACTGTTCTAAACCAATGTCAGGGTTGGTGATAGACTAACTAGATAAGGGCAAACAAATAGATACTTAATCCAGACAAGACAGAAGTGTTCCTGGTCAATCATGAGGCAAATCATGGAATACAGGTTCAAACTGTGCTGATTGGAGTTATACTCTCCCAGAAAATCCAAGTATGTGGTTTGTAGTACTCCTTGACTCATCAGGTCTCAGCTGTTTCCAGGAATAAATCAAGACTAGAGAAGCGATAACCTAGTTACACTGGAACCAATGCTGGAATTGGCAAATTGTGCTCTTCCAGATCTTTTTTGGAGATAACTCTTGTCAGCACCAGCTAGGATAGACAATGGTGCATTGCAGTCCAACAAGATCTGGAGGGTCACAATTATCATTGTGGCCTACATAAGAACGGCCAAAAGAATATCTTCTAAAGGTAAAGGTAAAAGTTCCCCTTGACATTTAGTGTGTTTCCCTGAAAGTAAGACAGGGTCTTATATTAATTATTGCTCCAAAAATCACATTAGGGCTTATTTTCAGGGGATGTTTTATTTATTTTCATGTACAACAATCTACATTTATTCAAATACAGTCATGTCATCTTCTTCTGGTTGCTGCACAATGGTGGAGGGCGGGGTTTCACTTAACTGAGGCTTATTTTGGGGGGTAGGGCTTATATTATGAGCATCCTAAAAATCATACTAGGGCTTATTTTCAGGTTAGGTCTTATTTTGGGGAAAACAGGGTACTTATGGCAGATCAGTGAACTGAACTTGATGTAGGAGTGGTCAGATGAGTGGGAATGGAATGGGTATGACTGGTTTCTAGGGAGAGAAGAGAATGCAGATAGAATAAAGGTATAATTGTTAATAATAAGCAGTTGTAGAAGGAAAGAAGTGAAAAAGAGGTTGACGTGAGAGTTATCACTGTAATATTGCATCTTCTGTAAGAACCTATGCATATGCCAAACTTTTTTGTTGTTATGGCTTTTTTCTGTCACACTCTTATATTGTAAAATAACGTGTTTCTGTTTTAAGGGAAATTCTGACGAGTACTGTTGTGGATTTTAAAAAGAACTCAATTGGGACAGACATAGTACAGTTATGCATTAATCAATGAGTACTGTATTCTCCTTCACACCCAAAGAAGGCAGGAAGTAAAACTTGACGGAGGAGCTGAAGTTTTAGAAGAATTTTCTAAGGCCAAAATGAAAAGTTCTGATTCTGAAGCATTCTGGACTTCACCAGAGCTCACCCAGTTTTGAGGCTCAAGCTACTGTGTTCTGCTCATCAAGCTCAAATGTGCATAGCAATAAGTCAAAGAAATATAAGCATGTTACTTATTCTGACATGTTAATAATGGTCTCCCTCAACAAGGTTTATATATTGGTGACAGTGTATTGTACTTGAGTTCTCAGTTCTGCCTTTTCCAATGTTGTGGCAATAGGGGTGGAGCAGGCACCAAGACAGGCTAGCTATTTTTATCCATCCTATCCTGAAGTCCATGAAAGAAATTGCCAGTCTTTGCAATCCTCCCTTCCCAATTTTGTTTGCTAATCCATCCTTCCTGGATAGCATGAGCCTTCAATGCACTATCCCTACCCTCTCTACTTCTTCTGTTCTCAGATTGCTGTAGTAATGTGCCAGATGCATGGTTGTTGAGTACAGAGGTCTAAGGTGTGGCATTGTGCCTCCTGCAACTTTATTCTACCTATAGCTATTTTAGCTCTTCAACTAACCTGGCGTGCTCTGGTCCATGGGGTCACGAAGAGTCGGACACAACTTAATGACTAAACAACAACATGCTCAACATCCAACAAACAAATTTATTTTGGCATAGATATTTTTGGATATGCATTGTTTTACTCCACCGATACATGTATTTGGTAATGAGTTATTCTCTCCATGTCTTGCTTGTAGTAGCCTTCCAAGAAAACTCTTTTAACTGTCTACTGCTGGAAGGAGAATGCTGGATTAAACATACAGTATGTTCTAATCAAACCCCTAACTTGGCACTTGCCAATTCCCAGCCCCTGTTACTTACAGAAAATGGTTGTAGTCAAATGCTAGATGCAGGGGAGGGGTATCAGGAGACAGGTATCTAGTTGTCTGGTGTGCTCCCAGAGGCATCTGGTGGGGCCACTGTGAGATACAGGAAGCTGGAGTAGAGGGGCCCTTGGCCTGATCCAGCATAGCTCTTCTTCTGTTCTTATGACATACCTTAGGCTGTAAGTGACCAGGTTTGGAAAGGCTGATCTAATGATATCCAATAACAAGTCTGTGCTTAATACCACCCTTGCCTATGGTATTTTACAGTAGCCAGTGCCACTTCTGCAGATGCAGCTGACCCTGTCATAGTGTATTTATTGTTTTTAATATAATACTTGTTTGATTCTTTTAAAATATTTGTATACTTACAGCTTTTACCCAAGTGCAGTATTGAGTTTAAATGTGGGGTCATAAGTTTTTGGTGGAATTTTAATTGCTGGGAGAAACGGGATATTTATATTTGTTTGGTGAGTGTTGTGTATATTTTTAACTTTTTTTTGTAGTGGTGTTGTCCAGTTTTACCTTGGGGAAGAGCACCTCATTTCGTTGCACCCACTTGTGAGTGCAATGACAAATAAATTTCTTATGTCTTTTAAATATTGCAATTTTGATTATGTACGCTGTCTTGGGTCCTTTTTAAGCAGAAAAGTGCAGCATAAATATTTTAAATAATCAATAATCAAAGTCATGTGATCCAGTTGTAAAAGTAAAAACCTGGGGTGGGTAACATCTTTACTTGGACTGCTAAAGGTTACAAACAAAACGCGATTTTCAGTCCTCCAAGACTGTTCTTCCGGCTTAAGTACAGTACTATAAAAACTGGGGGTCGTAGATATTGTAAAAAGTTTGGACTTCCCGCTTTTGCCTTATCCCTCCTCTCTTTTAAGAACATCCGAGAAGACTCCTGGAGGACTTTAAATAAAAGCTGTCATCTTTGTAACATTTAATAAACGAACACAGGCTGCACCGCCTTATGCACACTTTGGCAATTCTGTAGTAAAGACAACTGGAACGCAAAAGCTTTTGGCGCAGTCGCACTGGAGGCGAGCTCCGCCAGCGCCAATGCTTTAATCTCACGTCACTCCAGCCGTAGGCGTGGACGACAGCGGCGTTCCTGATTGGAGCTCGGACGGCAGGGCTACGCCAGGGGGCGGAACCCGGAAGGAAGAGTGTGACTGTAGGGGGGGTGGCGGCGAATGGCTGCAGGAAGCGGAGAGGCCGATCGGGGCGGTGGGAGAGCTTCGCCGTGCCTGTTTTTTAGATGCTGCGCTCACTCCACCCGCTGGGTTGGTTCTGGCTGGTGGTGCTGCATTTGCCCGGGCATTTCTCGCCTACTGCCGGGAAGGAGGTCGATGTTGCGCACTATCGGTAAGCTTAAACCCGGGTCTAGATGCCGGATACCTCCCCTCGCCCTGGAGTCCTTTACCTTTGGCCATCAGCAGGGCCGAATGTCAACAGGCGAAGCTTTCCGTCCCCACGTTTCTCTTGAGTGGAGGGATAAGCTAAACCTGTTGAACCTTTTTCCTGTTATCCGTCAGTAGAAGTCGTGGCAACCCAGAGAGAAACAGCAGGGTGGGGGTCCTTCAGCTTTTTATTTGCAGCCGCGTTGGCCTGACTGCCAACGGAATAATCCACACTGCCTGCTTAGCCCTGAGAATCAGGTGAGAATCAGAAGTTGATGGACAGCACCTCTCAGAGGGTAGGGGAAAAGCAGGGGGTTCTTAGAGATGATTTCTACAGAAGGTGCAAAGTTACGAGTTGCCTTCTTCTGGCTGACACCTCAGACAGTTTAGCAAGTTGGAAGGCAGAAGATTGCTGAGGTAGTCCTGCTTGTCTGGGAGGGAAAGGTCCACTCAGATATAGTGTAGCCTTGCCCTGAAGGCCTTCCAAAGAGAAAACAAAACTATCCTGCTGGTGGCATTTTGTGTGCATCTGAAACGTCTAAGGAGTTCCAACACTTTAAATCGGTTCACATTTAATCATCTGAATTGCAGCTGTAGCAAGTGTTCACTGGTCTTCTTGAAATGAGTGCCATATGGTTGTGAGCATTGTGAGAGCATGCTGGGCAGTCAGGGTATTTATGTGAAAAAAAATCCTTTATCTACAACATTATATGGGAATAAACACCTTAGTATTTACACTGGGCCATAAATAGATATGAAAGTGGTTGGTATGTTCTGGAGAGTGGTGAGGAGTTGCAATATGAGAACTGGTTGAATAACAGCCCTAGATCATTCTCGCAAGACTTTGGAAATGACCTGCAGTTCTCTGCTTTGGAAGGAGGGCTGAGGAATATGTTCTTGGTCTTTGATACCTCCATCCCCCCCATATGTCTCATCTGTATGTGAATAATTTCAGCAAAGTTTGTGTAATCTCTTCTCTCTCTCTCTCTCTCTCTCCCTCTTAGAGATCGAGTGAAGTCTATGTTTTACCATGCTTACAATAACTACCTGGAAAATGCTTTCCCATATGATGAATTGCGTCCTCTGACTTGTGACGGACAGGACACTTGGGGAAGGTACTGGGAAGAAGGATTCTCTATTTGCTTTAAAAATTATTTGCTTTTAAAATGTGTTTTAAAAATTTAAAGTAGTGACTTTCTTACTGAGCATCCCAGTATGCTAGGGAAAGTGGGACTTGAGCAGAGAAAAATGCATCGGTCTCCTTTTCAGGTAGCTGAGAGACTCTCGATCTGCTTATGCCAACCTGGCATCTATGGTTGTAGTCCAGCCCATTTGGAGGGTGCCAACTTGGGCAAGGATATCATACTGTACATGGTTCAGTTGCTGAATTCAAAAGTAGGATAAGAGATTGACAGCATGGCTGAAATCCTATTGCTTAGTGTAGTAAGTTGTACTAGAGTACTGTATTGGTCCATTAAATCAGTGGGGATTTGGTGACACAACTCCTTCATATGTTCCATTCATTCAAATTGAACTACTCTAGATGCGACTTAAGTTGCACCTAGAGTAGGCCTATTTGAATTGATTGAACTTATGGATGAATTGACAAACCAAATCCCATTGATTCAAAAGAACTGCATTGATTTATTTAAAGACATTTTAACTCTGCTTTTCCATAAAGATGATCACAGTGGCTATACCTTTCTGACCAAAATCCTATTAGTTTCTATATAAATGTTGTGTAACTTGCTGTGACTAACTGTAGCTAATTGGTGAAGTGACAGGGTACATCTTCGTCACATGCCTTGTCGTGCGCTCAGTTGAACAACAGAGATGCTCTCTGGCATCTCAATCAGCTACATTATGTTATACTTTAGGAAAGCACCAGTAGGATTCCTGCCACTGTCCTGTAGTGAGCACATTAAAAAAGGGGCCAAAGTGTTCTGCTTATATGTTGCTTAAAGCACTTTCTGGGCAGTTTATAATTTAATTATACAGGGTACACATCTCCCCCACCCTGCTGCAAGCTGGGTATTCAATTTATGGATCTTGGAGGAATGGAAGGTTGAGTCAACCTTGAGCTTTTACCTGAGGCCAGGATGAAAATCGGTCACAAGCAGAGTTTTCACTGCAGAACTGCAGTTTAGCCACTGTAAATGAGACTCCTAATCTTCTGTTTGTAACTTTAGTCCACCAGTAATGCAATGGCATTGCTCCAGTAGCTTGGGGAAAATCATTCCTTTATATGAGAGCATTTCAGAGATTTGGGCTTGTCACTAAGGGAAGGATTTCTATGATATTTTGCATTTTCTCTGCAACTTACATTTGAACCTATAAGCAAGTTCAAACATGTTTATGAATAATCTGGCCTTTCTCACCAGAAAACTCAAAAACATGTTCAAACTTACCTATAAGATCAAACATAGATTACAGGAAGAAAATGGCATGTCATAAAAATCCTTCCCTAGTGATTACCTATGTAATCATTTGAGCATTGACAGATTGCCTGAAATTTTACTACAGTTGGAGTGATGTTTTTCCCAAGAATATTAGAGACGTCATAAAAATCCTTCCCTAGTGATTGCCTATGTAATCATTTGAGCATTGACTGATTGCCTGAAATCATTTTACTACAATTGGAGTGATGTTTTTCCCAAGAATATTAGGGTAGGGGAACCCATTGGTCATGATGTGCACCTTTCATCATGTGTCTCATAAAAGCAACAAAAAGCTTTGTAGCACCTTAAACACTATTAGGTTTTATTGGACATAAGCTTTTGTGGACAGTAGCCCATTTCTTCAGATGCTTCTCCAGAAATGGGCTACAGTCTATAAAAACCTAAGCTAAATCAGACTTGTTCGTGCCGCAAGTGTCTTGGTTGGTTTTGCTGCAACAATCTAGCCAGGCTACATTCTTGCAAATGTATATTTTCTAGTTGGTTATACTTTTTCTCCATGCTTTCTTTTTGTCATTTATTATTTTTCAGTTTTTCTCTCACACTGATTGATGCTCTGGATACTCTACTAGTAAGTGCTGCCCATCCCTCAGTAATGTCTTTCGTCCCTAATTTTCTTATGTCTTTCTGTTCTCCATGCTTGTTATTTTGTTGCTTTGCCTGGGAGGTTAGGAAGAATTGGCACTAGTGTAACTCCAGTATTCCGATTTCTTGTGTATATTCTTTAATTTTAAAAATGGAAGGTTTGAGAGCATTTCTATAACTTCTGCTTTATGAAATAAGAGCATGCATCACCAGTCAGGGGAACAGCTTCCAAACCAGATGGGACAGTAGATTACATCACTGTAACATTTTGTATTTTGGAATATCCCATGTCCATCCCTACTGATCTTTCCTTCCCCTCAGAATTGTTGTTTGCTTTGTCCTGAACAATTTAGTTGCCATTTCAATTGCATTTCATTTATTTCTAGATTTTGGGGAATGTCTCTGAGTTCCAGAGAGTTGTCAGTGTGCTGCAGGAGGGTGTGAACTTTGATATCGATGTAAATGCGTCTGTCTTTGAAACAAATATTAGAGGTAAGTCCCACTCTAAAGCAGAAATGGAAAATGTCTGATTTTATTGGGTTGCAGCTTGCATATCAATGTAGCTCATGCTGAGGAAAAAAGATGGAAGTTGAAATCCAGAAACATGTGCAACACATAACCCACTTCTGTTCTGAAGGTCACTTGTCTTGAAATAATTTTTGTAATGTAAATTAGATCTGAGATGCAACACAGAGTGGAGATGGCAGTATACATAAAAGAAAATACAGTGGTGCCTTGACTTATGAACTTAATCTGTCCCAGAAGATGTTAGTAAGTCAAAATGTTCGTAAGTCAAATCAGCATTTCCCATAGAAATGCAATGAAACCTGATTAGTCCGCTCCGGCTGTTTTTTGGTCTTATGTTCAGCATACCACGGTACACAAACCCTAGGAGCCACAGAATCCAGCAACTGTTATTCCAGCAAACAGACCTCCTCAGCACAAAAAGAAAGCAGAGAGAGAGAGAGAGAGAGAGGGAGAGAGAGAGAGAGAGAGAGAAAACAGGGGGGTGGGGAAGAGACTTCAGTCTAAACTCCATTTTAGAGGCCATCAGCCAGCCAGACATTTGCAGACAGTTTTCTGATTTGAAAACCAAAAGATTGAAATGCATTTTAGAGGCTGACAGCCAGATAGACCTTTGCAAACAGTTTTCTGATTTTAAAACCAAAAGACTAAAATACATTTTAGAGGACAGCAGCCAGACAGATCTTTGCAAATAGTTTTCTGATTTTAAAACCAACATCCAGCACAGAAGCATAAACTCCCCCCTCCACCTAGTGCAACCCCAAGCTGGAAAACCCCTGTACAGTAAATACAGTGTACCCAGCCAAAACAGGCAGTCTCTCTGGTTTAAAAAAGAAAGTCAAAAATCCAAAAATAAAAAAGCCAAAAAAATTGCAATCCATACAGTACAGTACCAGGCAGTACAGTACCAGGAAGTACCAGGCAGTAGGAAGTCTGAAGTATCTCTCTGTATCCACACTCTCTAACCGCTGGGGCAAGCAAAGTAGCAGACAAGCAGCCTCTTCGCTGGCCAATGGTTAACTGAAAGTTCAAATTTCCGCCTTCCCTACGTTTTATTTTTCATTCGTAAGTCAAAGCTCCATTTGCAAATCAAAGTAAAATTTTGCGAATGGAGCTGTTCATAACTCGAAATGTTCATAGGTTGGGACGTTCATAAGTCAAGGCACCACTGTAAAGTTAACAGAGCTTGCTTGTCCAGAAGTAGCCCATCTTGTTATCAGATACTGGAGTAAATGCCTTTATGCCCAGTTTGTTAGCTCCTAAGAAACATCTAGCTGGCAATTGTCAGAAACAGGAAACTGGTTTAAATGGATTTCAGTCTGGTCCAACAGAGTGACTTTTGTGTTTTTAGGACTACCCTGTTTCCTTGAAATTAAGACCTAACCTGAAAATAAGGCCCAATATGATTTTTCAGGATGCTCATAATAAAAACCCTACCCCCAAAACTCAGTGAAACCTGGCCCTCCACCATTGTGCAGCTCAGTGAAACCCAGCCCTCCACTATTGTGCAGCAACCAGAAGAAGATGACATGTCTGTATTTAAATAAATGCAGATCATTGTACATGAAAAAAATAAAACTTCCTCTGAAAATAAGCCCTAATGCGTTTTTGGACCAAAAATTAATATAATTCCCTGTCTTATTTTCATGGAAACACGGTATGCTAAATGCTTTAGTTTCAACTTGCAGCTTTTCTGTATTAATAACTAAGTTGTCCACAAGACATCATGAACCAGTATTTTCATCAGTCTCGGCCATCATGGCCAACAGACTACCCAGCCCACTGTGGTCATAATTGTCCAGAGGAGGCTGTTCTAGTGGAATATTCCATTGTTCAGATTATATACTTGTTGCTATGATCAAAGGGTTATAAAAATGACTGTTTTGTCCCTGAAGTGTCTAAGAAGAATGCCGGGATCTTCTGCAGCCACTGACACAAACTTGAGTCTTGCACACTTCCCACTGCCTGTTTGATGCAATTGAGCCTTCTGGTCACAGGAGCCAGATTGGGATCAGCAGTATATCTGTCCTTGGCAGCACTATTTTGCTTCTAAATGATCTTAATCTGCCCATTTGCAGTGGTTGGTGGCCTCCTGTCTGCTCACTTGCTGTCTAAGAAAGCTGGAGTTGAAGTGGAACCAGGATGGCCATGCGCTGGGCCCCTTCTGAGGATGGCAGAGGATGCAGCACAAAAGCTGTTACCAGGTGAGCATCCTTGGAGAACCTGAGAACTCTTTTTTTCCCCTCTGTCACTCATGCTGGGTTATAGGCTATGTGACTGGTTCGAATATTTTTTTAATGAAGGGGTATCAGTCAGATGCTGCAGAAGAATTTCTGGAGATCACTGGAAGCAGAAGATATGTAGGTGGTGGGCCCATATAAAATAGATGACCTGTTTATCAAGTATTTAGATTGTGTCTATATGGCATGTGATTTAGTGTGAAATTGGAAGCAAATGGAGGAGCATACTTAGTATGAAGTGCAAAGTGGCACATCTATTTGTATAACCATCACACAAGGCACAGCTCGGAAAATTTATGTTTTTGGGTGACTCCTAGAATCATGCAGCCAGTATGACAAACGCTGACCATGGTATCCTGCCAGTTAGAGTCCAAAAATGTAACTTTTTCAAGTGCTTTCAGGAGAATTTCTAACCTGAGCTATATCGTCTGTATTATTCCACTGACTTCCCCTGCTATTTCTGCTCATAGGCTCATGGAGTTTATTTATGTTTTATTTTTATTTATTTATTTATTTATGAGCATGGAAATAAGAGCAGTCTCTGTATGGTTTTGAGTTGGTAGGTGCACCAAATCTGCAACCAGACTTTTACATCTCAAAATACACTTTGATTTATACCCCGCCTGTCTAGTCATTGCAACCACTCTAGTTAAACATGAAATGAGAGCGGTCTCTGTGTGGTTTTGAGTTGGTAGATGCACCAAATCTGCTCCAGACTTTTACATCTCAAAATACACTTTGAAATTATTTGAACTACTCAGCCTACATCAGAACAAGACTTCTTATAGCAGTCAAGCAGCTCTACTTCTTATTGTACTGCAGTTTAGGTTGCTTAAAACCTCGGCCTCTTCCCAGGATCACAGAATATTATCAGGAAGCTTTTTATTTCTTTAGGTGGTAAACAGCAGTTTGAGGTCGTGTTTCTAAAAGATCCAGTGAAATCAATGGGACTTAAATTAGCCATGTAGTTAAATCATGGAACACACTGAAGCTATGATTGTACTGGAGACCAGTCTCCACTGGTGTAGAAAGGTCGAATTGTCCTGCTTGTGCCATAGGCAGCTGTCTAAGAATACTTAACATTTGCTCAATGAAGTCTTGAAAGGTCTATGAACAAGTAATAAAAATATCAAACTGGTCATTATGCAGTTCATTGCATGATCTGTTTAATTTATTTGAATCCTAGTCTGTATGTTTAGGCACATTTAATACTTACATATGAACCTAGAATGCAACCCTACTAAAAAATTTTTGGATTAATTTGAATTTAAGTGGAGAATTGGCAAGAGAAGAAGCATAAGTTATGGGCTACTACAGAGCATGTAACAGTAGCTTTGGAAAAATAACAATGGCACCCGTTGTTCTAATATTGCAAATTCTGACTCATATTGTTTAAAAATGATTCAGGGTATCTTAAAGAATTAAAACACCCGATAGCTTGCGTATTAAAGCAATGTACGAAAAAAATATCCATAACATAAAACTGTATGTTTCTTCCCCAAAAACTGTAATTTTTGAGTTTTTGCCAGTCCCATCTACAGCTTCTAAGATCTTCTATGCAACCGTTAAGGCTAGAAACACCTTATTTTATTTTCATGGGAGATGCAGTTCAAAAGCATCTGAGTAACAAAGGTTAAGAACCACTGTTCTATGCAACCGTAAAGGCTAGAAACACCTTATTTTATTTTCATTAAAGCTTGGAGTACCAAAGTTTTCACTAATTTGCATATACCAAATTTGTGAAAGAATGGAATACATACTGCCTGAAATAACATCTAATACTGTATATCCTAAGCTATTGACTGAAATCCTGTTGCTGTAACTTATGCTGTGTAAGGCTGATGACATCAGCAGCCCTGGTGATTTAAAGAGTTCCATTCTGCAGCCCCTGATAATGAAAGGGAACACAGGAGTCTCAAGACCTTCAGAGAGGAGTCGAAAATGTTTAATTTCTGAAAAATTGCCACTGCTGCTGATGTCAACAGCTTCATGTAACACAAACAACAGCAGCAGGATTTCAGCCAATATTTTTCTCCTTGGTTTAAACCACAACTAGTATGACTCTTCTGATCTATTTAATTATGCCATAAGATAGGAACTTAGTACTGTAACAACTTTTCCAAATCTGAAATCCTATATGTCTTTGGTTTGAAGCTTTTCAGACCCCAACTGGAATGCCATATGGGACAGTGAACTTACTACATGGAGTAAACCCTGGAGAGACACCAGTTACTTGTACTGCTGGTATTGGAACATTTATAGTAGAATTTGCTACATTGAGTCATCTCACAGGTGACCCTGTATTTGAGAATGTTGCCAGAAAAGCTCTTAAGACTCTCTGGAAAAATCGCTCTGATATTGGCTTGGTGAGTAGAAAACTATTTGGTGCCTTCTTTATAGTGCAGTCTTTTGTTGTTGTTGTTGTTAGATCTGTGGGTCACAACAGTTGGTCCTCCAGATGTTTTTGGTCTTGGCCAGCCAGCAGGACTAATGGTCAGGAATCAGTGTTCCCCAACGTTTTTCGGACCGCAGACTGGTTCGGGGGTGCTGGCTCCCTGCGCGGACCGGTTGGGGGGTGGGGGCACCCCCGCACTCACAGGTGGGCATGTCGCACTTGTGCGCATGCGTGACATGTCCCTTGCGCTCATGCGTGAAACACCCACCTCTTGGCCGAGCCCAGCCTTGAGCGGAGGGGAGGTGGCTTCACCATGGCGGCCAGCAGCCAGGAGCAGGCTGGATCCGGAGCGGAGGGCGATGACCTCGCTTCCTCCCAAGAACTGTGCCTCTCCCAGGGGGCCCCTGTCTGTGCTCCTAGGCATAAGAGCCACTCGACCACTCCGACAAAGACGCCTGTAATTCCCCTTACACATGCGCATGCACAAATGGGAGGGGGGAGCCCTATTAGTCCCTGTAGAGATGGAGCAGTGTGACCCCGACCCGGCCTGGCTGCCGTATCCCTTCGTGTAGGAGCGTCTATAGCGGAGTGATGGGAAACCCTTCCCCATTCTCCACCTTGAATGCAAGGCTCCGCGGAAGCGACAATGGGGTGGGCAAGGGAGGCGAAGCCAGTGTGTGTGTGTCGGGAAATGGGGAAGCGGGCAGGGGCTCAGGCACCGACCTCCATGGGCTCGGAGGACTCCTCTTCCTCCTGCTCAAACTCTTCATCTGGGCTGAAGCTGAGCTTGCCGAGGCCTTCCTCGTCCGGTTCCTACGGGCCCGCTCATTGTAGTGAGAAGGTGATGGAGGGTGAGGTGGCCCAGGAGCATGCCAGCTCCAGCCTCACCTCACAGGGGCCACCCCAGGCCATGCTCTTTGGGGACTGCATGGCGAGGAGAGCCAGGAAGGAGCCCGCAGAGTGTCCCCGCACCACCTCCCCTCCCCGGGGGTTTCCTTCCCGCCCAGAAATGACTCGCCCACTCCCTCAGGGGAAAAGC